GGGTGGGGGGGGGGGGGGAGCAAGAGGAGATCAGCCTCAGTGTACTTGAAGCATTCCTACGAAAGATGTTTTCAGGTTCACATTGTAAATCCTGCTGTAAAGTAATAGCATAGCTACCACACAGCTCTGGACATCCCAAGGTCCAAGTGACATGAGAAGAAAAAAATTACTAGCCAGTCCTATCCTCAAGCATGTTATTTCTCTCTTTGCTTCCTACTGCCAAATGACAGTACTTCAAGGGGGTGGGGGAGGGAAGGACACTCACTCTGTTCTCAAGAGCAACTCTGTCTCTTCCCAAAGGGTTTTCTCCCCATCCCAAGCATGTTTGCAGGTGCCCTCGCTGCCTCCTTCTCTAGCCATGCCCACAGCAGCCCCACATTCACCCCCCCCTCCCCAGGGACCCACACCCCCCGCCCCCTCCCTCTGCTATCCCCCCAATAGACTTCCAGAGGGCTCCCTCTTCCTTCCAGACACCCTCCTTCACATCTCCTAGTCTACTTCCCCTCCTTACAAGGGATTGCTCTAGGGACCAGCTTTCCTTCAGGAGTTCAGTTTCCCCCACAAACAAGTTCTCCCACAGAGTCACCCCCCTTCCACCAGCACTTCCCAGTCAGGGTCCCTGTCAGAAGGCAGATCTGTGGACTTTGCTCCTACAGATATTTCTTCCTAGGGATCCCCCTCCCAGAGGACTCCCTGGGACTGAGAGAGAGAGACTCCCTGGGAGTGGGAGAGAGATCCCACTTCCCCTTTCTTTGGCAATGATTCCCAGCCTCACAAGCTTAAAAATTTTTCCTAAGGGGGTATCACCCCAAGGACCGCTGATGCCCACTTCAGTCCTGCCCATCAAAGGATCTTTTTGGGGGAAAGAAGGGTCCAGCCCTCCCACAGCTGCCTGGGGGAAAGATTCCTGCATCCTCCTTCCACCTCCTTGAAGACAGTCCCCAGCTTTAACTGCTCCCTCTCTCCAGACGATCTCTCTTGCTGGAGAGAGATGGCAGCACACCACCTTCCTCATCTACTAACTACGATCCTTTCTGCTCTGAGATCCAGAAGATCTCCCCTCAGAACAAAGGTGGAGGGAAAAATCTCCCCAAGGACGGGAGGTCTGAGAGGCCACCAAGGCAGACGTGCATGTTGGAGGGGACCTTTAGATTCACCCTCAAAGGGAGAGGCTCCCTATAGAGAAAGAACAGCCCTCATTTCCCCAGAGGGGCTCTTTCATGGGGCAGCGTCTTTCAATTCATCCATACGCTCCATCCCACAGAGAAGGAGGTGGGCTCTAAAAACCTCAATGAGGGGGAGGCTAGCCCACATTCCCCCATAAAGAGACAATAGCCCACAACCTGTCTGTAGAAAGAGATACCCAAGAACCCTCAAGCGAGGGGAGACACCAGTCCACAGCCCCTCTGTATAAAGCGGACTCCCAGGAAGGGGAGGCTGGCCAACACCCCCAAAAGTTCCAGGGGAAGTGTAGGCTGGCCTGGCCCCCCTCATAAGGGGTCCAAAGGCCCTGGTGCGGACCAGTCACTACCAAAAGGGTACCCCAAAGCCCCTGATGAGGGGATGGCACCAGGCCCCCCATCAAGGCTCCCAATAAGGAGAAACTGGCATAGTCCTCCCCATCCCTCCCAGTAAGGGCCCCCTCGCAAGATCCCCATGAGACGAAATAAGGCCAGACCCATCCCCCCCAATAGGAACTCCCACCCCAACGAAGCCTCGGTGAGGAAAAGCTGGCACGGCCCCCCCCTCCCCAAAGCCTCCCGTGAGGGGAGAGCAGCCCAGGCTTCCCAAAAGACC